CTGCTACCTCAAACGCTAAACATCAACGATAAGCTGTCAGTTTCTATGACGCATACTTGACGTATTTAGTTAACGCGTCCAACTAGTTCAGTTTTTGCAGGGTTAACGATGAAAAGCAAACCCTCCAAATCAGATAGCTTCGAGTCCAAAAAGGTTAAGGTGAAGAAAGGCGCTGGCGGGGAGATGTCTGGTGCAACTTTGTCCGCAAAACCGCAGGACAAGAAAGATGCAAAGGCATGCAAAAAAGGTGTGTGGACAAGTTAGTGTGCTTCCATTAATCGTGCCTGACATTGTCTCTTGTTGTCTGTGTTTTTGCAGGGTCTCCTCTCAAGTCCTCAGGAATCCAGAAGAAAAGTGGACATAGCATACTCCACTACATCTACAAGCACACTCTGGGCCAAAGTGTTCATACTCAAATGAAACAGGTAGCTCACCTGCTGTACAGTGTTTGATTTTGGCAGCCGTTTTAGATTTAGTCTTAGTCTTTTGGGCCAAAATGCTTATTAGTTTTAGTCATTCCTGTTCGTGATAGTTGGAAAAAAACCCCCAAAAAAGTCTAGTTTTAGTTGACAAATACTCAAAAAGGTTTTAGTCTAGTTTTAGTCAGCTTTATTTAAAAATAGACATACAATGTTTCCACCCAATAACAAAAACCTGATCTACCAAGGAGTATGCATTACTCACAGATAAAGTGGTACCGCTGGACTCAATGTTCATTACTCCAAAATAAGCCAAGAAACAAAACATTTTCTTTGGCAGTTGTTGTGGCTTTATTTCTGTGAACCAACGTGCCAAGGTGCAATGAACGTACATACACCGAAATATGAGCAATGGCTGAGGAATACTTAAAAGGATGAAACACACATGACACAAAAGGCAAAATAACTAAACCAAATAGAAGCAACAATATTTTAACAACATAGACGAGAATACCTGTGTGATTTAAGAGAAATGAGTCACACACATTCTCCCATCATTCAACTAAATAGCAGAAAATACCCCATAGCCCACGTATGTTGTAATTCCTACATTTGCCTTAATCTACTTTTAATATTTGATTATACACACAAGATAATGAATTGACATGAGCTCAACCAAAATAACTTAAAGCCTTAAGTTAGCCCATTTGTACCAGGAGTTACATGGAAAACTTTAAGCTTACAATGACATTTATCACAAGCCGATTGTCGAGTAACATTGAATGCTCGCAAATGTTACAGTTACAGTATGATATGTTAGCAGGCTTTGTTGCGACTTACCTGCAAAAAAAAATATCATACCATTCTGTCCACCTAGTTTGAGGCCACATTTTCCATTACCGCCGTCTACAATGCATTCATTGTGTTGTTCTTTCTGCTGGGTTGTACAGAAAGTATATCCATTCGTTTATTTATTTATTTTTCATTTCCCTTATATGGTTTTGTTTTGTTTTTTAACTTTCAGTGCCTCCAAGAGCCTTTTATCCGCTCGCTCACTTTGTACCATTATCACGCGTCAAACCATCCCTTCGACCGGCGAGTCACCTGCCTGGAGTGGCATCCCACTAATCCCACCACACTGGCGTTGGGATCGAAAGGTGGCGACATCGAGCTGTGGGACTTTAAGCTCCGTGACCGGAAGATGTTCATCAGAGGGGTGAGCCAGCTCTCCGCGAACGTTATTAGGCATCGCAATTGTGCTCGGCTTGATAGCCTGCTGCTGCTTCTCTGTTCAGATGGGTGCTGGAGACTCAGTTACAGATATGAGGTTTAACCCTTTAAACCCCAATCAGCTGTTCACATCATCCATGGGGGGTACTACAGCCCTCCGAGATTTCCATGGGACCCCCCTCACAGTCTTTGCCGACACAGATACATTTAAGTAAGACTGCGGTCTGCCTGTATTGTATTGGGTCAGATCATTGATTCATCAGTCTTCTTCAAAGGTGGTTCTTATTGGTTTAATCCCACCATTCTCGTTTTTGAAGGAGACATTTTATGCCAACCCCATACAGATTAAATCATTTGCAACTACCGTATTTTCCGGACTATAAGTCGCTCCTGAGTATAAGTCGCACCAGCCATAAAATGCATAATAAAGAACAAAAAAGTATAAAAAGAGTATAAATCGCATTTTGGGGGGAAATTTATTTGATAAAACCCAACACCAAGAACATACATGCCATCTTGAAAGGCAGTTTAAAATTAAAATAAAATACAAAACAACACGCTGAATAAGTGTACGACATGTTAACCTTACATGACGCATAAACAACTAACTGAGAACGTGCCTGGTCTGTTCAAGTAACATATTAAGAGTTAGTCAGATAACTATAGCATAAAGAACATGCTAACAAGTTTACCAAACCATCAATGTCACTCCAAATCACTAAATCCAATGAAATCTTCATCCTTTGTGTCACTTTAAAACAACTACACTAACTCCCGAGGTAGAAGATACAGCGCTTCCTCTTCTACGTCGCTTACGTCAGACTCATCGTGGTTTTATCAACACAGGTCTAGAGCGGCCTCTTGTGGTTAAATGTGAAAATAGCATGTGAAATGATATCATAATGTGTTAAGAATTTCACCCATAAATCGCTCCAGAGTATAAGTCGCAGCCCCAGCAAAACTATGAAAAAAAAACTGCGACTTATAGTCCGGAAAGTACGGTAAAACATTGACGGAAAATCTTGGCGTGAGCGTGGTCGTAACATAAACTAGCTCCTGTTTCGTTACAGTGGGGCAGAAATGTAAAACGGCTCTCTTAATAAAGACACGTTTTCTGAACTAGGTAGCTAAAAAAAAAAAAAAAAAAAAAAAAACAACTTCATTGTGCAGTTTCACGCTTGGGTAAGTTGAGCTATTTGTATGCCAACAATAAAAAGAGAATTTTCCGTAGTATGTCTCCTTTAATTAGAAGTGCCCAATCATGTGTTTGTGCGCGTAGAATGGCGCCGGAGACTTCATCGGAGGGATGAAATTTTGCCCCACGGATCTGTCCCGAGTGTACGTGGCCTCTGGTGAGGGCACACTGACCATGCAGAGCTTTGAGGGCCTCACAACCACCATTATAGCCAAAACGGAAGATTGTGGCCACCATCACCACAACGTATGGTGAGAAAAATGTGGAGAAGACTGATGAAAAATCCTTGACCCTATTTAGTTGTTTTAAGATGTTGAATGCAGATTTTATAAAGGTTTTTTTTTTTTTTCCTGATGCTGTACCCACAGTTTCTGGTACTGCTGTGTTGACGTGTCCATTAGCCGACAGATGCTTGCGACTGGAGACAATGTTGGAAATTGCCTCCTGGTGGGTCTAGATGGGCAGAAGGTGGGTGATCTTTTTTTATTTTATTTTTTAATCGCAGCGGATCCTGTAACAATTCTCACATGGAAAGAAGAATGACTTCATCTTTAACCCCCACATAGGAATACTAAATGCTTTTTGGTTTTCTTTCAATATTGTAGATTTTCAGTGAGAAGTTACACAAAGCCAAAGTGACTCACGCTGAGTTCAACCCACGCTGCGATTGGCTGCTTGTGACGGCGTCAGTAGACCACACAGTGAAGCTCTGGGACCTGAGAAACATGAAGGACAAGAACAGCTTCCTTTATGACATGCCTCACGAGAAAGCCGTCAACTCAGGTGCTGCAAAAAATAAAAATAAAAAAAATAAATCACATTATTGTAGTTTATTGCCCGGATAATTTAGTTCTTTTGAACAATCTTTCATTGTTCACAGCACATGCTTATGTGCACTGCTTGTCCTCACAACATAGCCTCAAACACTCAACGTTGCCAAATTAGTCTTGATGATTTTTCAAATAAGCGACTTGTAACTTTTGCATGATTCCAGATTTTTCCAGTTTTGCGTAGGACAAGAAAGGTCAGGGTAATCTTTGAGAGACGTTCAACAATTTGCTGACTTTGATTGGAAGAGAGGAAAAATGCTTAGATTCGGCCTGATCAGTAGATGTGCACCCGGCTTGTTCCATGAAATCGTCACATGATCCTCATACATAATTTTTTGTTACATCTTCACAGCCTATTTTCATCCCTCGGACTGCTCCAAATTGGTAACAACTGATCAGTACGACCAGATCCGTGTGTATTCATCCTCTGATTGGTCGAAGCCTCAGCATATCATCCAACATCCACACAGACATTTTCAACATATCACACCCATCAAGGTTGGTTGCCTCTACACTGTGACTTCCGAGTTTAAGAATTCTCTCGAGCCGTCACAAAACGTGCTTGATGCAAGTCAGAGGGAAAAAAAAAAAAAAACTTACCAAGCCAAACTTGCTTTGTCAACATTTCTACAGGCTACATGGCATCCTGTGTATGACCTTATTGTGGTGGGTCGTTACCCCGACGACAAGATTTGCCTGGGCGACCAGAGAACCATCGACATCTTTGATTCCAACACAGCCGAGCTTGTGTGTCAGTTGCACGATCCCAATGTTGCGGGAATCAAATGTGTGAGTAGAACCGAGCAATGTGAGCATACAGGCAGTTCACATGCACGTGAGCCGACTGAATATTACACCTCCAGAATGATTTCTTATTCACTCACTATTCACTCACTATTCATAAAACCTGAGCATAACTGCTCAGGTTTTATATACCACTGCAATAAGGAGTAGAATGTGTGTTCACATTGGGTCCGACAACAGCTTCCTGTTGCAACAAGATACATCTGTTACATTGTGTCGAAAAAAAACCCCAATTTAGATTATTTATGCCGAAAGAATGCCCCCACTAGTTGAATGCTTACACATTGGAAAACGTCATTGACGGGGCTAATGGTTATCATTAATCGTTGTGGTCTCATGTCCCTCGAAGCAACATATTTGTACTGAAATAGTGGAGCAACAGAAAGACAAAATTTCACAGTACTCACAGGTATATATTCTTTATCCTCGATAATCCATTCATCCATTTTCCGATCCGCTCATCCTCACAAGGGTCGCAGGGCGTGCTGGAGCCTATCCCAGCTGTCTTCAGGCAGCAGGCGGGGGACACCCTGAACCAGTTGCCAACCAATCGCAGGTCCTCTATAATAAAAATGACAAATATTATTGGAGCTGCTGAGGCCCTGAGAGTCGGATTAACGTTTAGGTCTGTATTGGAGGATAACACTGGAGTGTTTTTTTTTTTTTGGGGGGGGGGGTTAACTCCCGTCACATCCAACTCTTACATTAAAAAAAAAAGAAAAATCTCGTCCCATTCCAGTCCTAGAATTTAGTAACAAACAAGCAAACAAAAAAAAAATCCTGTTCCATCCTGATCCAGGTGAAAACAACTTCCGTTCTCGTCCTGCTCCCGTTCAGACTGACTCCCACTCTCGTATCGCTCCCATTTTGGAGGTCAGATACTTTGTACGGTACATTAAAAATGGCTTTTTTTCCCTAACTGTATAATCAATCCCGTTCCCATCTTCTCATGTGAACGTTTTATCCTGCACCATTCCAATACCATGAGTAAAGGTAAAGTTGACTCTGAATCCCCTGCGGATTTCCGAAAAAATGTCACCCTCGAGTCTGTATGACTTATATTTGTGTGCTGGTTTTCACATGGGGAAAAAAACAAAAAAAAATTACATAAGTTTTTGTTAGGGCTTTTTTGGGGCACGTGGAATCAGGTCAAATACCAATAGATCAAATGAAGACGCACACACCCACACACGCAACCTGACTGGCAGTATCGAAAGGAGCTGTGCTGTCTATTATTAATCTTGGCTTGTTATCATATCTAATCTAGATCACAGCCAAGTCCCCATTCCAATTTGTTCTAATCTTTGACCCACCCACACCACACAAATTCCCCCTTGGCCCTATGCCATCTGAAATCCCATAATTTGTATTAAAAGGCATTTACTTCTCAATACTCCTTGTACAGGTATTCAGTTATATATAGTGATATTTTACAGGGTGTCTGGAGATCCTTGAAGAGTGTCCGTTTCGATTTTCTAAAATGAAGCCCTTGTCTTGCTTCAATTTTAATGCTTCAACACTGTCAGTGGTGGAATTAACTAAATATTGTCATTGCATAAAAAAAAATGGTATATTGCCTGCCGCTGTTGGACTATAATTACGCTGCTTGCACCTTGTGGACAAACGGAAAAAAAAAAAGTCTATTTTGAGGTCCTATTTTTTTTCCTACTCCATTGTGTTGGTGTAGAAGGCAAAATCAAAATGCTTCCGATCGAACAGTAACGCTGAATATATGCTGAATGTCATCTATGTAAACCATTGTAAATCTCTTTTTCAGATCAATAAATTCAATCCAATGGGAGATGTGATTGGCTCTGGAATGGGTAAGCTGATAAAAAGTGTTTGACGCCTGTTTTGTTTTATTTTTATTTTTTATGCTCCCATCTTAGATGGTATTTGTGTCACAGGTGTATCGGTGGTACTTTGGGACCAGGATGAGTCATTGTTAGGTGATGAACACACGCCGCAGGAGGAAGTGCCTACCTCGGCTGAGCGACCACAAAGGGAACGCGGTCGTCAGCAACAGGCCACCCGGAGCAGGAGAAGCGGCGCGGATCAAAGTAAACTCAAGAAAAAACTGCTGTCTGCGCACGAATCAGAAACGACGACCAAGACTAAGTGCGCAAAGCGCACAAGAAAGCTGTGAACTGAAGCTTGTGTGTGTAGAGATATATTTTTTGTTACTCTTGTATATGTGGGTTAAAATGGGGTATTATAAAAACAAAGTTTCAGATATAATTGTTTTCTACTGAACTGTTAATAAAGTGTTATTGTTTGGACCTGTTTCTTTTCCATATTTTCTTGTTCGAAAAATCACGGCACACTACAAAACAAAAATGTTACAGGAAGTCCGCCTGACTTCTCGGTTGTTAGTATCTAGGCGAAAAAGTATGAAATTGTCCCGATTGAGTTCACCCTTATTAGGTTGAGGCAATTGAGAACAGATTCTCATTTGCATTGCTGCCCTGGCAGGAGACAGCAGAGGAAAACGAAGCATCATCAAAGAAAATTACAAACTAAAGTTTAACATTACAAATCCTGGACTAGAACTGTATGAATAAGACAGGAAAAACTAAATGGAACAATGACGCGGCGATGTAGAGGTTGTGAATGAGTCAAGCCTTTCCATCTTGATTGACGGCAAGAGGCCGGGTAGACCCTGGATTCCTTGGCAGCCAGCCTTATTGACTCACATCTGAGTCATTCTACTTTCAACCGCGTGAAATCGTTTAATCGGGGATTTTTACTCGCCAGGATAAAATGATGCCAACATACCTTCTGGAAGATTTCCTGTCTATTCTAGTGTCACAACTTTAGATGACTTACCATACATCAGTATGTGCTGTTATATATATATATATATATATATATAAAACAACTCAGCTTTTTAATGATTTGAACAATTTCCTGTTTTGTAGGTTAATCATTATGAAAATCAGTATGAAAGAAATATAAATGGAATGATTTGGTTTAAAAAAAAAAAAAAACTGCCCAGATGACAGTTTTGCACATTTTGATATTTTCTCAGTCCGCTTTTGTGACCTGGAATGACCTTCAGAAATGAAAGGTGAAATGTGACATTTTTGACACATGGCAAACGAAACAAAAAAAAAAAGACGACTAATCAGAATACACAAAATTATGCAAAAATAACATTTTCTTTCGATACTGTATTACTTTAACTTTCACTTTGCAGGCCTTTTATTTTGCCGCTTCTCGTTTGCGCTCTTCTAAATTTCCCGCGAGTTGCCTCGTTTCTGTTTCTGTTTCCATCAATGCTGGTTTTGGTTGACACAAGTGCTCATCTGTTTGTTGATTATTGTAGCTGTAAATTTGAGAGAGAAAACCACGGGTGATTTATTTTGTGTATTTTACATATGTGAGTTGAGCTGGCTTAATTTAGTCTCGATTTCTTATTCTGACTCAAAAACAGACTGCAGTCACGTGTATCATGTGTTTCTTTTTTCTTTTAAAATCTTGTATATGAAATAAATGCTGTCAAGATGAATGGCAGGAAATGACAACAAGAGTTCTAGAGAACAGACGCCGATCGCGAGCAGCACCTACAGGTGCGTTATTTCCTACACGTATGGGCTATAAACGAGCTTGCATTGAACCAGTTTGACAAGTTCGCCAGCATTGATGGTGGCAGCGCATGTGGAATGAAACGCGAGTGCTCAGCGGACCAGAAGAGCAGCAAGGACCCAAGAACACTTGACTCACATGACTGTCCCTCTTCAAGGTAATGGCAACGCACAGCGTCATCTCCAGAGAAGACCTCATCTGTCCTCGGTGTACGGACATCTACTGCTTCCCCGTTCTCCTCCATTGTGGACATAACGTTTGCAAAGTTTGCCTGCAGCAGTTCTGGGAATGGAAAGGATGTCAAGAGTGTCCGGTGTGTCAGGCGGTGTCTGTTCCCAAAAGACCTCCCATCAATTTGGCGCTGAAGATAGCGGCGGATCAGTACCACATGGAGAAGATGAGTCAAGACCGTTGCAGGTTTCACGAGGAGAAGCTCAGCGTCTATTGTCAGAACGACGAGGAGCCCATTTGCCTGGTGTGCCAAATGTCCAAACAGCATAAAATTCACGAGTGCTGTCCGCTGGATGAGGCTGCCAAGCAGAAAAAGGTACAAAATAGAAAACTCGATCACATCATGCTGCTCACAAAAAGTTAGGGATGAAAAATGGACCGAGATAATCAGGATGCATTCTTTGTGATGCTGTTCACATTTTTTCGTGATGAGCTCAAGATCGCGCCGAACTACTGATCAACGGTACCTCACAATTGGCAGGATTTAAACAGCACGTTCCTCGTTGAGCTCGTGTCGCGGTGTCATCGGCAGGTTGAAACAGATGCACTGGAAGAGTCACAGGAAGGCATGAAAGTGAACAATTCGATTCATGGGTCGACCCCGCTGTGAATTTTTGCTTTTGGACGACAGCAAGTGAGGCAAAAATGCCTGAAAACGGTCGGACGCGCGTTAAAAAATTTGGATGCGGGAATTAAATTTCACTTGGGAAAGTTCGAGGGCGTTTCAAGTTCCCCCTGATACAAAGACAGTAACTCGTCTTTCGTTTTGTGAGGGGAATACCTTCAAATGTTCCGCATATCTTTGTTGTTGTGAGCGATAAGTCGCCAAACAAAAATGATTTGTAGTGATACATTTTTTTTCTATTCAAACAATGAACTGCTTATCAGAATTTTATTCCGCCAAATGTTCTCATCGGCGTCAAAGAATCCTTATCGGTTTGGCCCCCATGATCTTCAGAAAACCTTAATTTTACCATTTAAACATTATGAGACCGTAAAAGTGAACCGTGACATTGCGAAGGAAGACTTGACTGTACCACCCGGAAGCCGTCTATCTCCAACTTTTTGTGAGTACAACATTTATGAGGTAACGACCCTAAAGGTTGACACTTCCATGTTATTGTGAACATGTTAGAAAGACATTTCAGACAGGCTGGAGCCTCTGAAGAAGAAGCTGCAGACTCTCAACAAGACGAAAGAAAACTGGGAAAGAACGCGGACATTTATACAGGTTTTATTTACAACGCACACACACACACACACACACACACACACACACACACACACACACACTCCAGTGTTCATGCTTTGACTTAAGAGGCTACGGTCACATTACAGAGGCAAGCGGACGAAAACAACCGAACCATCAGGGAGGAGTTCCAGAAGTTGCACACGTTCCTTTTCGAAGAGGAAGACTCCCGACTTCAGGTGCTCGCGCAGGAAGTCGAAGTGAAGGTCAAAGTGATGAGCCTCAAGCTGGAGTTCATTGAGAAGCAGATGAAGACCTTAGCGTCTGTGATCAGGGACGCAGAGAGAAGACTGAAAGGAGACGATTTATCTTTCTTGGTGGTACGCACAAACACACGGAACTTTTCTTCTTCAAAATTCTTAATCGTGGCTTTTAAATGTCTCGTTTTTACTCTGTAGGACTACAAAGACACCAAGAAGAAGTGAGTGTGTGCAAGTGCCCAGGATGCATTACACAGTCCATGAGATGATGATGATGATGATGATGATTTTTTTTTTTTTTTAAATACAGGCTCAAATGCAATATCAGAGAACCAGAAATAATCCGAGACATCCTGATCAACTCTGCCGCACATCAGGCATCACTTAAATTTCAAGTTTGGAAGAAGATGGAGCGCCTTGTTAAATATGGTGAGTTCTCAAAGAAGGGACTTTTTTTTTTTCTTCATCAGTAGATCAAATGAGGAGACGGTGTTGAAGCGCTTTGAGTAGCGCTTCAAGAGCTATACAAGTGAAACTCTACTTACCAGGAATTAGTCTCTTGTGGATCTGAGAAGATGCAGCGGTACACTCAGCTGACATCAGTGCTGGCAGCATAAATTCAATTCCCACTCTGAAACAGTGTTAATGTTGGATTGAATGGTCGTCTATATATCTGCCCTGTGATTGACCGACGACCAGGGTTAAATTAGCCATTATCCAGCTCACGGCTCTCTTAACAATCCTCCAGTTCCGATCACGTTGGATCCCAACACGGCCCAGGCCAACTTGGAGCTGTCTGAGGAGCTGAGCTGCGTGCGGTACAGCAGTCAGCGGATGCTCCCGGACAATCCGGAACGCTGCACGGGAGGAGTGTGCGTGCTCGGTGCGGGCGGCTTCGTGTCCGGGAAACACAGCTGGACGGTGGACGTGAGCCGGGGTAAAGACTGGTACATCGGGGTGGTCCGGGAGTCCATCCAAAGGAAGGGGGCCATGTCCCTCAAGCCATCCGACGGGGTCTGGATCATTGGAGGCATTATAGGGGGCGTCCTGTGGGCTCAGACGTCACCTCGCACGCGACTGGAATGCAAGCAGAAACCCGAAAGGGTTACGGTGGAGCTGGACTACGACAAGGGCAAGGTGGCGTTCATCAACGCTGTAGATTCAAAGACCATTTTCGTATTTAAAGACAAGTTCACCGAGAGGATCTTCCCTTACTTCTCTACTGGGATTCATGATGAGGGCAGCGGCTCCTTCCCCCTCACCATCTGCTCTCAGACCGTCACGGTCGCCATCTCAGACAAGTGAAGACCGTATCCGTACATCCAATCAGTTATTGCTCCATCATCTATTAATCCACTGATCATCCATCCATCTTCATCCACCCAGTTGAACCATCCATCCATCCCTCTCTCCAGCCATCCATTCCCATATCAATCAATCCAGCCATTCACCCACCTTCACTTCATCCAGACATGCATCTGGCCATCGAGCCATTCAACCAACTCTTGATCCAACCACAGATCCGTCTCTCATCCATCATCGTCATCTATCTACTTGTCTGCTGATCTGGCGTCTGTCCGTCCCCCCTTACATCATCTACAGCACAGGTGTCAAACCCAAGGCCGGGGGGCCAGATCAGGCCTACCACGTCATTTTACATGGCCCGCGAAAGCAAATCAAACATGTCAACTTCTATGATGCTTGCTTAAATCCGTGTCAAAAATCAAATTCTCATATGTAATAAATAAGAGAAATATAAGTTTTCTTGTTCCTATGCCCCTCATAACAGTAATTTAAACAATGAATAAACCATGATTCTTGACTTCTTTATATGGTTTCACAGTAATAACGGCCCTCCAAGAGAAACGGTAACTACACCTTGGCCCGCGACAAAATTGAGTTTGACACCCCTGATCTATCATAGTCATCCAATGATCTATCCATCATCCATTGCTCTTCCCATTCATCCACCAGTCATCCATCCAACCAAACATCTAGCATCGGTCAAGCCTGACATACAGTATGTAAATTGTGTTGTATGTAGTACATGCAACATGTAAACTGTACACACATAAATGACAAGTTGCCCACCCACTCGGCACTTACTTTGACAACATCCACATATGAATATCAAAAGATACAGATTGTTTTATGAATGAATGTGTGCAGATTACCACAAATGTGCTTTGCTTGCCAAACTTGGCTGTAACAAGTTTCGCTCTGAACGACCAATTTGACGGAAAAACAAATTGCATTATTGTCGTTTCACTTCTATTGTTGTTCAACCCACGCGTACACGATCACCGTACTGAATGTGAAAATACAAGTCTGTCTGTTCAAGGAAAAAAACGGCTCGGCATTGTCAGACATTCATTAAGTCACTCCAGCTATCACAATGCTGTAATTCATGCCAGACTTGTTCCTTCTTCATTGTCTATTATGCTTGTTGTTGTTGTTGTTGTTGTTTTTTTAACCTTGTGTTGTGATGCCAGTAAGTGAGTCCCTCTGTAGAAACCAATAAAATACATGCTGATTTAGAAAATATATCCACATTTGTGAATTTTACTGTCATTCATTTATGGCCCAGTCTAGTATCTGTGCTCTTTGACAACAAAGTCATGTTTGTTGTTATAACGCATGCAGAATGTGGCTTGGCATCGTGCTGCTGAAATGAGTAGGGACGTCCCTGCAAATACGTTGCTTGGATAGCAGCATATGCCGCTCAAAAATCGCTATGTACAGTACCTTCCAGCATCAATGGTGTCTTTATAGATGTGCAAGTTACCCACACCTTGGGTCATCACACCCCTCCACACCAACACAGATGCTGATTTTTGAACTTTGCGCCGATAACAATCAGGACATGACGGTTCAAAAAACAAATGAAATGAGGACTCGTCAGCCCACAGCACCTTTTTCCACTTTACATCAGTACATCTCTGATAAACTACGGTCCAGAGAAGCCGCTGGTGTTTCTGGGTGTGGATTATATGGCTTTTACTTCAAATTGCATTTGTAGATGTAGCAATGAACAGTGTTAAGTGACAATGGTTTTCGGAAGTGTTCCTCAAGCTACGTATGTGGTAATATCCTTTACATAATGATGCCTGCTGTCATTGCCGTGCCTCCTGAGGGATGAAAAGTCACGAGCATTCAATGGTGGTTTTATGCCATGCCACTTATTAACGGAGATTTCTCCGGAGTTTCTGAATCGTTCGATAAGATTGAGGCCCATAGATGATGAAATCCCTAAATTCATTGCAATGGTATGCTCATGTTGAGAAATGTTGCTGTTAAACTGTTGGACTACTTGCTCACGCACTTGT